ATTATCCATATCGTATGATGCATGACTGCCCAACTGATCAGTGGTAACTGCCCGACTGGCCGTAGCGCAGTGGTAAATGCATGACTGTCCGACCGGCCGTAGCTCGGTGGTAAATATGTAACTGCCCAACCGGCCATAGCTCAGTGGTAAATGAATATGCATGACTACCCAACCGGTGGTAACTGCCCGACAGGTCGTAACACGGGTGTGAATGCATGAAGATGCATGTATCTTTATATTATAAACATTAATATCTCTATCATATACCTCAATAGGGAACTAGATACGTACTTAGACATGCTTGAATATCACTTTACGGGAGTGAATAATATAGACATCCTTAACTGCCAAGAGTACAACCAGTTATGGAACAATATTACGTTTACGTTTCGTTACTTGGATCATGCCAAAAGAAGGAAGGATTAGCCTTAACATACCTGAGCCGGTTCTCTTGACAATCCCTCTACCACAGATCTTTTGCGAAGAACACATAACCCTCGAAGTAGGGAAAAATTCTTAAGATATTCTTTATATCATAGCACGTTATTTCTTATCCGACCAATATTCACTCCATACTCTACATCATCAAATAATTCCTTTGGTCCTTCTTCTGTCATTTATCCCCAAAATTCTTCCAAGTCCACTATATTACTGATTAACTGAATCTGCTAATCTCCATGTAAACGAGAAGAGCCTTAAAACGAGGGCAAAATCAGTTAGAAATCCAATACTAAGAGGATAAGTTGGTAAATACTTTCTTTTCCATATTTAGAGCACAATTCTTGTCCAAATTTAACCTTGTAGATCGTGTGGTATTCTTGATAGAACTAGTAGAAAAGATTCCTTATTTTTGTGACTGGACCATATAACTAGAAGAAAGTCACAAGGAAAATAAGAGAGATATAGAAAAGCAAGTCCTGAGAAATTATATCTTTGTGTGACATTCTTGTCTTATGCTAATTCCTTCAAGAATATATACTTGATGTCCTTGTTTACATGGCTAGATAAAAGATTCCTATAACAGATTCCTCATGTTTTTGGGTTCTAACATTATCAATGGAAGATTCAACACCAACCTTTACAGGAAATACAAAAGGAAACCCATTTTCTTTCAAGCTAAATGATTTTTGCTAAAAGAAATACACACACTGTCGTTTGCGTGGATTTACTGCTCATTATATCTTAGTCTACCAAAAGAATTAGGCTATACATTCAATACATGAGACAATTATCAAGTGGTCATAAAATTTGAGGCCAATTTCAAGATAAAGGTCAGAATAATGAAAGAGAAGTCTCACTTTGTATGAAATCTTTCCACGTTAGGAATTTACTTATGACTCATCATCTATTACTTTAACTAGGTCCCACGTGAACATAAGATAAGACTAATCTCTACCATGCAAGTATTGATAATTAATAAATCATGGTACCATATAAAATTAATACATACACTATTATTTTATTAAAACATCCATGTAAAAATTCATATATTTTCTCAACTTCTAATTTTTCCCAATTTCATATAAAGAGTAAAAAATTTCGTACGCTTAATTCTTAAAATGGTAAAAAATAACCTTCTTTTCTTGTGAGAAAATAATTTCTATCTTTACAATAAAGAAAATCTCATAAACTTTCTTATATTATATATGTGTATAATTTAGAGCATATTCGAAAGTAGTAATATTAATAACTATATAAAATCATATTTTTCAAACTTTTTACAAAAATGTTCCACTCAAAATACCACATCAAAAGTATATAATGGTATCAATATTATTAAATTTACAGGGTCTTACAAGAACAATGTCTTAAACCCTCTATAACCTCTTAATAGACACAATCCCTTTCGTACTCATGTGGATTTACTACGACACATCCTAATGCTAAGGTACGGGATATAACAATATATGTGCTTCATTTTACACTACAAGTTCAAAAGTCTTCTCTCTTTTCTTAAATACTGCACCCAGTCAAATGAGTTCACATAAATTGAAATGGAGGGAATACTTTTTTGCTGAGTTGAAAAGGTCCAAATATGAACCTAAACTATTAAAAATAGAGCAATTATGCCCTCTATTTGCATTTGGGTACAAGGAGGGCACAATTTTGTACCCAAATACGCACATCAGAGACATGTAAAAGTGGAAATTGTGATAGTAACTTATAGATGTATCGATATGCGGTTGCAAATTAAAACAGGAAGACGAAACGAAAAAAATTTCACCATTAATTACTTGGTACTCTAATAATAAGATTTTGCATTAAGAATTGATATTACAATGTAAAAGGTCATTTTATTACGAATACATCAATGACGAACAATGGCATTGTATCCTTTGAGAAGATCCGAATTCGGGTCCCTCTAATGTGGTATTGTTTGGTTAACTTACATGCTAGGACTTGGGAGTACAAAAAATATAAAAATCAAATCACACGAATTTGATCCGGTAAGAAAATAATAAGTGAAGCAGGAGGTTGATTTTTCGGTGAAATTTCTCGTCATCGTAGTAATTACTATGTAAAAGATATGGCACGACATTCCTTTCCCCCTTTTACTTACAAAGAAAACTTTTTCTCCGACATGGATTTTCAACTTAGCAAAAAGTATTATTTTATATAGAAAAGGGTCAAATATATTCTTGAATTATTGAAAATAGAGCAATTATGGCCTCTGTTTGTATTTGGGTCCAAAATTATCCTTGATGGGGAGTCTGATGGTGGGGATAGGTAAAAGTGAACCACTTTATTAACGTCAAGGATAATTTTGTACCCAAATACAAACGGATGGTATAATTGCTCTATTTTTAATAATTCAGGGACATATTTGGACCTTTTCCGAAGAATTTATATAGACAACAAATATAAACAAAAATTTAAAAGTCGCATTTTGAATTTAACTATAATACATAATTACCGGTCATTGTTGTCCCCCTATAGAGTTGGAGAAAATAATGATAATCCTTCAATTGCAATCAATTCAATAATGACCAATTAATCAATTAACTAGAAAATAAACCAATTCATGTAATTAAAGCCTTAATATAGCTTTGCGAATGCACCTTAAATTTCATTTAAGAAGACGTTGGAAGAAGCTGAAGGATAAATAAATGAGAAAATTGATCGAGAAATTGCCGCCAAAAGACAAAGCAGCTCGTCTATGTGCAGAGCCCATTTGGATTAGCTGAATTGAAGTAGCTGATAAGCATTAGATGCTAAAAAGCACTTTTAAGTGCTGAAATTAATTTAATAAATAAGCAGTTATGAGTTTGGATACAAGTGCTAAATTGATAATAAGTTGTTGCAGTATTTGATAAAAAAAGTGTTGATAAGCTCTTATTTGTTAAAATGATTTAAATAATCTTAGAACTCTTTACACTTATAAGGACATAATTTCTTCAAAACTTTAGATTCCATATTTATTATAATACAAAATATTCTATTTATCATTTTATTTTATATGCAACTATGCTTAGATAAGATAATTTTTATGATATATAATTTATTTTATGACAAGTATATAATCATAAGTTATAATAATTAATAAATTGACAAAAGTTACTCAGCAAAAATAAACCTAAATAGGACAAAATTTTTGAAGAGAAACAAATATTGTTTTCATCACTACAGCACTTAGAAAGCAATACACCAAAAATTTGATATGTACTCATTTATTACATACAGTTCAAAGATTGATACATAATTACATTGCTACAAATATGTAAAGAAATAGAGAATTTGCTTATCTTAAATAGTCAATGAGAATTGCATACTTGAAGGGGGGAAGGGAGGA